GAGCCGGGAGCTTCACTTTCACAGGAAGTCACAGTTATACATGAAGCACTATTGAGACACTGTTTCAATGAACACACAGCCAAACTATAAAGGCTTCTATTACATCATTTGGCATTTTAAGAAAACATAGTTTTGGGCAGCGCCTGTGGCTCAATGAGTAGGGCGCCAGCCCCATATACTGAGGGTGTCGGGTTCAAACCCGGCCCCAGCCAAACTGCAACAAAAAATAGCCCGGGGTTATAGTGGGCGCCTGTAGTCTCAGCTACTGGGGAGGCTGAGACAAGAGAATCGCCTAAGCCCAGGGGTTGGAGGTTGCTGTGACACCACAGCACTCTACCAAGGGCAATAAAGTGAAACTCTGTCTCTAAAATAAAAAAAAAGAAAGAAAGAAAACATAGTTTTTACATTATGCAATTAAAAAAAACAAAACAAAATGCAAAGAATATAAGAACATAGGAAGACTTACAATGGTTTTGCATTATTTTATAGCAAGGCAATAGTACCGAACATTTGTGTTTAAGTATATTAGAAAACAAATGAGAAATTTAAACTATTAAGTATAGATACAATCTTTGAAACAAAATTTAAGAAAAAAATATCACTAATGAGAAGGGAAAGACGCTTTTAGCTGACAGAATGATCATTAGTTAAGAAGAGCAAATCACAATAAAAATTTTCCATATTCATCCAGGAAAACTCAGTGTAGTTATTATTCCACATGGAATCATCAGATATGTGCTTGGAAATTATCACATCATTGTTTTCTGGACTGGAATACACTGCCTAAATTTTTATATTTAGAAAGAAATTGTAAGCAATGTGTCATATTCCAAAAAACATTTGTTAATTGGTACACTTCCTTAAAATCCCACACTAAAATTAAAAGTGAGTTACCAGGCTCTGCGAAGAATAGGAGCTGACAGCTGTGGAGGCGCCAGTCCCTGGTGCTGTCTGATTGCTGTGTTGAGAATTTGTGAAGACCAGGGCTTGGCCAAAGTCCTGTTGCTGGGAAGTTTCAAAGGAGCTGACGTCTGAGGCTTGACTAGGAGGAACAGACTTCTGGAGTAAGGCTACAAGATCAATGCTAAGTACACAGAAAACAAATGAGGAACCAGTCACAAGTAAATCTTACCAACAAATTAACTTCAGAAGCAAATAAATATAAAGTTATACTAAAAATAAACTAAGTGAGGAGAACCTTTGGAAAATGGGGTTTAACGAAATAAAAAAGAGGGCTTTGGATGGGTATAGTGGCTCACACCTGTGATCCTAGTGCTCTGGGAGGCCGAGGCCAGTGGATGCCTAACCTTATGAGTTCCAGATCCCATCTCTAGCCAGGTATTGTGGTGGGTGCCTGTAGCCCCAGCTACTCAGAAGGCTGAGACAAGAAAATTGCTTAAGCCTAGGAATCTGAGGTTGCTGTGAGCTATGATGCCATGGCACTCTACCAGGGGTGACAAAGTGAAACTGTCTCAAAAAAAAAAAAAGAAAAGAAAGAGGGCTTCAATCAAAAAAGAAAAAGGACATGAAGCCACAGAGATTGAAACAGGATTTTGCAAAGAAGAAAAATGAAAAGGGGTAAGGGAGAAATCTTCACACAACTGACATGATGACTGATTTGAAAACCTGGAGCAAGAGAGTAAACTTAAACAATTGTCTGAAGCTTGGCTAATTTTGCTAAGAATATTTTACCCCATTTATTACTTGGAACCAAAGTTTCTAGTAGATCCATGTTCTTAGGGAATGAAGACTTCAGCGAAAATTGATAATTGCCTAAGTTTCACATTTATCTTAAGATATTCATATATATTTTGTATTCTATCCCATAAATAAATTTATGTTTATGTGTATAAACCAAGTAATTTCTTATTTTAAATATTCAGGAATAACTATACATTTGTTAATATGTGTATGTTAATATTAATGCGTATACCAATACATTTTTTTTTAATTGAGTTTATTTATTTATTTTGGTTGCAGAGTTGTCATTGTTGTTTTAGCTGGCCTGAGCCAGGCTCAAACTCACTAGCTTCAGTGTATGTGGCTGACACCCTGAGCTACGGGCACTGAGCCAATAAATACATTGTTAACTAGAACTCTTTTAATACCCCCAGAAGGAAAGATATTTCAACTTGAGAAGCATGGACTAAAACCTGAAAGCAGAGGCCAGGAATGGTGGCTCACACCCGTAATCCTAGCACTCTCAGAGGCCAAGGCGGGTGGATTGCCTGAGCTCATAATGGGTTCAACACCAGTCTGAGCAAGAGCGAGACTCTATCTCTAAAAAATAGCTGGGCACAGGGTGGTACCTGTGGCTTAGTGAGTAGGGTGCCGGTCTGGCCAAACAGCAACAAAAAAATAGCCAAGCGTTGTGGTGGGCACCTGTAGTTCCAGCTACTCAGGAGGCTGAGGCAAGAGAATCACTTAAGCCCAAGAGCTGGAGGTTGCTGTGAGCTGTGACATCACAGCGCTCTACCAAGAGCAACAAAGTAAGACTCTGTCTCTAAACAAACAAAAAATAGCTGGGCACTGTGGCAGGTGCCTGCAGGGCCAGCTACTTGGGAGGCTAAGGGAAGAGAATTGCTTGAGCCTAAGAGTTAGAGGTTGCTATGAGCTATGACGCCATGGCACTCTACCAATGGTGACAAAGTAAGTCTCTGTCTCAAAAAATAAAAAATAAAATAAAATGGCTCAGCACCTGTAGCTCAAGTGGCTAAGGCACCAGCCACATACACCTAAGGTGGCAGGTTCAAATCCAACCCGGGCCCACCAAACAACAATGACAGCTGCAACAAAAAAATAGCTGGGCGTTGTGGCGGGCACGTGTAGTCCCAGCTACTTGGGAGGTGGAGGCAGAAGAATCACTTGAGCCTAGGAATTGGAGGTTGTGGTGAGCTATGATGCCACAGTACTCTACCCAGGGGACAGCTTAAAACTCTGTCTCAAAAAATAAATAAATAAATAAATAAAATAAGAAAGCACGAGGAAAAAACTGTTTCAGATAAACACTATCTGACATGAATGAGCTTCATACCAACTCTTCTCCAAACTCACCTTATTTAGTAGAACCTGTAAGCAAGATGCATGAGATTTTTCTGACATGATAATACATTTAATTAAACCCAATCAAAAGCCAGTTCCCATCAATTCTCATAATTAAAACTCTCACCATACCAGTGAGACAGGTAGATTCTAGGAAAATTCAAGAATTACTCCTGGTACACACCAAAGTTCCTAGCCCCGAGTTCTTACACTTACATTCTGACACTCTCACAACCCCATGGTCAAAGCGGAATTTCCAGACTAGAATTTTCGACCCCAAGATAATGTTCTACTTTATAATATTCTAACATCAGAAATACAAATCCAGGTTGTTATATTATATGACCAATCACAAAAGTTTACTACTAACAATAAACAGAGTAAGTTCTATTCCAAAAGGCTGATAAAAATTATGCATAAAGTGTTCTGCACTATCTTCTGAAAAATAAATAAAAGAGCCACTAAAAAGTACAGTTAATTTTTTAAATGAAAAATATTATAAATTCACCACCTATACTAGGTAAACGTGAAAACTAATCCTAAAAATTCAGTGCTTCATAAATATAATGGAGAAGATTTCTGTATATAACTAGAAATTCTAAGAAATTCACAAATAATATATTGTAAAATACACAGAAATTAATCATTTTATTTCTCTATGATGAAGTCTCATAGCCATCTTATTTAGCATGAGATTGAGCATGTTAGGTTCAAAACTGCTTTCACTGCTAAGGTGTCATATATATCCAGGCTTTCATCATTCCATTTTTAAAGCATTTTCAAAGGTGGTTAGAATTATTGTAAATACTAGGATATAAACAAATGGTGTTCAGTAATTCAGTTCAGTGCACATTCTAAGAATGTTACTATTACTCCAAAAACTCTGTTCTTTTCTATAATCTAGTAGATTAAAACTAGTAGAGTCCTAACAGAATGATTCTGCATTAGCTTGCAAAGATAAGTAAATGGAATTATATGAATAAACTAAACAATATACTTACTGAGTTCATTGAAAAAAAAAAAGGTTAACAGGCTGCAGATGGTGGCTGACACCTAATCCTAGCACTCTGGGAGGCCAAGATAAGTGGATTGCTTGAACTCAGCAGTTTAAGACCAGACTCAGAAAAAAAAAAAAACCGAGGCCCTGTCTTTACTACAAAGAAGAAAAAGTAGCTGAGCATTGTGGCAGGTACCTTTAGTCCCTGCTACTTGGGAGGCTAAGGCAAGAAAATTATTGAGCCCAAGAGTTTGAGGTTGCTGTGAGCTAGGACATCACAGTATTCTACACAAGGCAAGAGACTGAGACTCTATCTATTAAAAAAAAAAAAAAAAAAGCCAGGTGCAGTGGCTCATGCTTGTAATCCCAAAACTCTAAGAGGCCAAGGGAGGTGGACTGCCTGAGCTCACAGGTTTGAGACCAGCCTGAGGAGCCAGAGTGAGACCCCTGTCTCTAAAAATAGTTGGGTGTTGTATTGGGTGCCTATAGTCCTAGCTTCTCAGGAGGCTGAAGCAAGAGGATCACTTGAACCCAAGAGATTGAGGTTGCTGTCAGCAATGAGGCAACGGCACTCTACCTAGAGCAACAAAGTAAGACTCTGTCTCAAAAAAAAAGTTAACAAAACTGCAAAGAGCAACCATCAAATAGGCCAAGCATAAAAATCTCTGCCACAAGTATGAACAATTAAAAAAAGCTGCTATTTTCTTTTCATCACTGGATACAAATAATTAGGAAATTATTGAAGCTCTGTCAACACAAGTAGGGGTAAAATAAAGTTAAATCTTAGATAAAGGGGAGAAGACAAAAAGAGACCACAAAATGAAAACACTTGTCAGGGGCAAAATATTTCAATTATGCCTTAAAATAACAAATATAAAATGGCAAAAAGTGATTACCTTTGCCCAGGTGTGATGTGATTCTCTGCTGGAACAGATGATGCAGTGAAGACCTTTGTTTCAGAAAGCTATATGGGAAGTTCAAAAAAAAATTTTTAATCTTATTCTATATAAAATTCAAAATAGGCCAGGCACAAAGGCTCAAATCTGTAAGCTCAACACTCTGGGAAGTTGAGGCAGGAGAACTGCATGAGCCCAGAAGTTGAAGTCCAGCAAGCATAACATAGCAAGATACTATCTCTACAAAAGAAATGTTTTAATTGGACAGGAGAGATGGCATGCACTTGTGTTCCTAGCAACCTGGAGGCTTGGGTGGGAGGATTTTTGAACCCAGGAGTTTAAGGTTATAATGAGTTATGATCATGCCACTGCACTCCAGCCTGGGCAACAGAATAAACCACCATCTCTTTTAAAACAAACAAAAAACTACTAGGCATCTACCCAGAAGGGGAAAATTAAATCATTTTATCTTAAGGACATTTGCAGTAGATTGTTAATTACAGCTCATTTTACAATTGCTAAGAAGTGGAAACACATCTAAATGCCCACCAACCTAGGAATGGATTAATAAACTGTGGTATATGGGGAGGGGAAACAATTATAAGAGGGACTTTACCTAACAACTGCAATCAGTGTAACCTACCTCTTTGTACCCTCAATGAATCCCAAACAATAAAAAATAAATGAAAATAAAAATAAACTGGCTCGGCTCAGCGCCTGTGGCTCAAGTGGCTAAGGCACCAGCCACATACACCTAAGGTGGCGGGTTCGAATCC